GGGATTGCTGTCTTCATGACCGTGGATGGGGAAGTAGAGCCTTCACTGTGCATATGGACACTTTGACATTCGGCTGACAGCAAGTTGCACTTGCCTGTGAAATAATTTATTGAGAATTTCTTAGTTTTTTAGTAGTTTGATGGAAATGAAAGAACTGCTTTGCATCGACTACGAAGCTAAATAAACTAATTGTTTCAGTTCTGGTCTAAAAGAACCATAAAAGCAACTTTTGACTATTGAATTTTGTGCTACAACCGTTGATTGTGGACATCATTGTGACAATAACGATATTTAAATTACTAGGTGGTATATTTATGCAAAATCACACATGAAATGATCATCAAACTGATGTTCAAACCAATGTTATGCATTATATGAAGCCACACTCTTAGTCCGAGTCATTTATTTGGACAATAACACAACATTTTATTGTTGTAATGCGATTTCCCAAAAAATGAACTTGCAGTAATATTACATTTGCCCAATATTTTTTTGTTCTCCTTGAACTTGTTTTGTTTTATTCCATATATAATTTTGATTTTCAAATAGTTTGGAAGCGTTATTTTGTGTCTATATTGCCCACAGATGTTTGTTAAACTAACTTAAAGAAGGTGATGTGAGAGGACACCGAGTTCACTCTGAGCGGTGTGTTTGCAGGCTTAGAGAAAGCTTTAACCCCCGCTGTGTTTTCCCCCTGGGACTCCCTCCTGCCTGACTGCAACCTGTCCTCCCTCGCACTATTGATGTGTCCACGACTCTGTGCTGTGCTCTGACATTGGCCCCCGCTAATGGATCAGTCTGTTCACCTCAGCAAGCAGTCAAACAAGACAGTCGAGGTAGATGCTGTTTAGTTCTCTGCTCATAAATCTGCCGTCTTACATGGCGGGTTGCAAAATAGTAGCAGAATAGGAGCATTTTAGGGAAATGTTAGCTTTATTTTAACTCAAGAGAAACATTGAAAGGAATGAACACTTTTGCCAAGGCTGCTGTTACAGGTGGCCCCACAGTCAACTGCATTACAGTTAACAGATTTTTAAAATGGCAGAGATGTAAACTTTACAGAGCAGTAAATCCGCATGGGCCGTCTAGTGCAAAGGTGTGGGAGGAAAAGGCCATTCTCACCAGTAAAGTCAAATTGGAAAGAGGGATTTTATTGTTGGGCTCGGCTCTGTCTGGCTCAGGTCCATGAGTCTGAGCCTCTGCCAAGTGCATACCAGCGACCCTGACATGGCTGAGCTGGCCGACGATTCACCAACTATACTTTTATATCGCAAGCTTTGATCTACACATTGACTGTGAGCTTGACATGTGCCTCTGACTCTGACCATCACTGAATACAGCTAAAGCAACAGCTATTCAACAGCAATAATTAGCCAAAAGTTTTCTTTTTTCATTACTTGAATGAAGCAGCCTCTTCTTGAGCTAAGCAGTAATCCTTCATCACAGCTTCATCAAAACTGGATTAGTGGTAAAGTAGTTTCAAAGTTTGAAACTTTTAATTTAAAGTTTTGCCAACAGGCTGATCACGGATGTGTGTTTTTTTTTTTAAATTTTTTTTTTTAAGATGCCTTAATTATCTTCCCAAAAAGCTGGGCAAATGATGTCTGACACCATTAGAGCAGTTAAACAATGGATGGCTAGATTTGGTTGGTGTCGGTTGTGACCTTTCAGAGTAATTGTGACGATCACTGAGAGCGCATTCATCCGCCCAATTAGTATGATTTTTGAATCTGAAAAACAAGCAATGAAGAAGCACGCATTTGATCAGGTTAGATCAGTGAATAATATCTGCTGTTGAAGACCATGTCACATGATCCAAAGCTCCAGAACAGCAACTAAATAGACCTTGTGGTGAGATCGTTTTCTCAGGAAGTCGTCAAACTGTTCAGGTAGTGTATTGAACACGGTGAAGACCATTTTATGGCATAAATACTGTTTTTCATGTTTACTTATTTACTAGCAGAACTGTCATTTTCTATAACATGTAAAGGACACAGTACATTTCCTGCAGTACATATTGCATAGATTATATATTTAAATTATATTGCTATTGAATGAAAAGACATGAACCTTGAGAGTTGCCGTGTGCAACAAGACGTACGGAGTACAATGCAAGAGGATCCCCTCACATGTTGTGTTTGCCAGATTAAGTGAGTGTGAAGGGAGCTTTTGATTGAAGCGCTTTTAAATGACACCTCTTGTTGGGTGCGTCAGTAATCCCCCACGCTGCGTGTTTGTCACAGGTCGGGCCTGATATGAATAATGTAGTGGGAGACTGGTTAAAGGTGGCTCTCCGTCTAATGACGGCAAACAAGCCCTCTCCCTGACATTTCCAAGGAAAGTGAGAGAGAAGGGGGGGGGGGGGGGGGGGATGACAGACAAATATCGAGGGAGTGGATGTGGTCTTCAATTGCAAAGTACTCACTTCATTTGTTTGCTACAGCGCTGTTTGTGATGAAATGAAACAAGATGCCTTTGTCTTTATTGTATATTGTGACAGACGCAGCTGCATGGTAAACAACAACTATCTGCTATTGGATTAAATAGTTTTAATGATGAAAATAACGCAATCATCCACTGATTGAAACCCCTCAATCTCCTACATTCAGCAGTATTTGACTGTTTTTGCAGTAGAAATATACAGTGCAGTTTATTGTTTAAAAGGGGCAATCTCTGCATTATGGAATTATAGTTATGCCTCTGAGCACTCGATTGAACATATCGAGCATATAAAAAGGTTTTTCGCAAGCGCATGAATTATGTTTTGTAGTGTTAAATTTCAGTCAATCGTAGAATAAAGTAGATAATTTGTGATTGGCTTTTTCATCTCCAATCTGATTGCTAGTAGGATAATTGATTACTGGGTAGTGAGGTAGCACTTTCAGAATGGGAAGTAGTTATAATTTAAGTTTGTAAATCAGTCTCCACTCTATTAGCATGCAGTCTCGTTGTTTTGGTAGCGAGCTAATTTCTGCCCGAGAAACATTTGCTAAGCTAGTTGGCTAACTTCCAACCTGATAATTAGTTCTCGCGTCAGTTCTCACGTGTGCAGTTTACAATGATAGCCATGTCAGGTTTAGCTGCCACTCAAAATCTGTAATAATTATCTTTCAAACAATGGGTGTTGGATTTCACACACAAATACACAAAAGCAGACGTCTCATTTCTAGGTGTCAACTGTCAGCTAAACTGTAGCTAGATAGCTAATTATCATTAAAGCTATCATGAAATCAAAATAGATGTTGTATTGTGCTGGTCGTCGCCTATACGGAAGTATGAGATCACCAAGCCTGCCGCTAAAGCTACATGTCCCGGGCTAACAGTTAGCATCCTCACAAGACATGGAAATAAAGAAGCACCATTGTTCTTGTATTCTAGGTTGAGACAGATTATTAGGGTAGGCTAATGATAGAAAAGGATTGTTGTTTGCTCAAATGTATTTGTTCTTTGCTTGGTAATAATTTCTCCCAAAAAATATTATGTGCATGCAAGTTGTTTTGTTTAAAGTAATGTGAACGAAATCTACAATTTAATGTAACGTTATGAAAATACACCCGTCGTCATACCTTAAAAATATAATTGGTTCCTTTAATTTGACGCTAAACTAACAATATTCTTCATCCTATAGAATTTAGTCTTTGACAGCGTTGTCCTATTTGAATCTCAGAAGAAGATGCAGATTATTATCGCTGAAGCCGCATAACTTCCAGTCTGCAACTTACACTTGATCTGATTAAGGCTGCAGCATTTCGCCCTTGGGCGACGTCTGTAGCCTTGCACGGGGAGAGATAACCCGATCTCCACTCCTCTCTGGCTCAGAGTCCAATTTAGCAGCTCTAAACTATGAATAAATCTAACACTTCCATAATTGAATTCTTCAAACAGGCCAGATTTTGAAGGTTAGGACCAAATGCAAATCAATTATCCAGCTTTAACAATGAGAAGTCATTTCATTGATCTTAAAGAGAAAATATGTTGGGCAGCAATGTGATTCATACTCATTTATTACAGAGTTTTTCAATAAATGCCACAATAGTTGCTGTCCTAAAATTATTATTTAATATCTTGCCCTTTTCTTTCTTCTTTCTTGTGTGCGTCTTGTCCTGCACATGCATTATTGTAAATACTGAACAATAAGAGATAGAGATGTAATTATGGCTCCAGTTATATCATCTCCAGCCAAAACAAGGTTTATATTAGTACTTGTCCTATTCTGCCTGCGAGAGACGCCTAGAATGATAAATTCCATTAATTGTTTGCAGGGTTACTTAGTATTTATTCCGGCATGGTTTCCCTAATTATTTCTCCGGACGTGTTTTGTCTTGTGCATAATTCTCCGTTCCACAGGGACGGTGTAGTGAGTGGGTGTGCTGAGAGAGCCGGCTAATGGGGGGGAGATGGCGCTGAATACCAATGCAGACCAGTCAGTGCTTGCAGAGACCAGACAATGTGTTTGTGTTTGCGGTGTGTGTGTGTGTGTGTGTGTGTGTGTGTGTGTGTGTGTGTGTGCGCTGCTCTGTCCCCACTCGCATCCCGTCTGGATCGAAACCCTGCCCTTCCTGTGCTAAAATAAACCCACCTTGGGAAGTTGAGGACCTTGTACAGAGCGCTGAGTGTTACACCTTTTGATTTTTCTCATATCGTATCGTGCAGTGTACATGCAGTCTATGACTGTGTGCAGTGCACTTAACAAACTGAAAATCATGAAGAACACTACTGTATAATAACTACTTTAGGATAAGAATTCATGATGGATCTATGCCTCTAGGTTGAGATCAAATCACAGAATAATGAAAATGTTATGTGATCGAAATAACAATCATGTTATAACAACATACGCATGTTTTTGTGAAATGACAAGAAAGTTTTGTGATGTAAGAAGACAAAGCATGTGACGCTTTAATGGGAAATGTTGAAGCTTTAACTGATGATAATATTTTCCATCTTAACTTTTCTCTCTGTCTCTCTCCCTCCATCACATTCTCCTCCCCCATCTCCAGCTCATAGTGGAGAAGACCACAGACTTCCCCTCTGCAGAGTTCTCCCTGGTGGAGGATGTGGCTCTGCACTTCACCTGTTTGATGGACGGGCTGAACGAGCAGCGCCTCTTCCAGCCTGACCTGTGCGACGTCGACATCGTTCTGGTGCGTCAGCACAGCACCTTCCCGGCCCACAAGGGCGTGCTGGCGGCCTACAGCCCTTTTTTCCACTCCCTTTTTGCACAAAGCAAACAGCTGCGGCGGGTGGACCTGTCACTGGACGCCCTGACCTCGCAGGGCCTGCAGCAGATCCTCAACTTCATTTACACTTCCAAACTGCTGGTGAGCAGCCGCACTGTCCACGACGTGCTCAACGCAGCTGCCCTGCTTCAGATGAGCGACATCGCAGCCTCCTGTCGCGACCTCATCAGCAGCCACTCGCTGAGAACCACCTGCGCAGATATGGCCAGTCAGAAAGGGCTCGGTGGCGGTGACCCGGCTTCTGTAGCGATGCCTTCCAGCCAGCTCTACCCGGAGATCAAACAGGAGTCGGAGCTGGGGAGGTTGTACAAGAGGGACGGCAGCAGCCCGTTCTCTGTGAGAGTGGAGGAGGCGGACAAGACGGCCTCCCAGCAGAAGCAGTATTACCAGAAGGACGCGTCAGGGGGCGGGGCTGGTACAGGTGTGGCCGCTCTGTGCAAAGTCGAGAGCAACGGGGAGGAGTCGAAGACCGCCGACAGCCACGGCTCCTTCAACAGAGACCAGATCATTGTTGAAGTCAACCTCAACAACCAGACCCTCAACGTGTCAAAGGGGCCGGAGACCAAATCAACAAGCGCCATGGAGGCGGCCGCCATGTTTGGTTGTTGCCACGACAACGAGAGAGATTCAGAAGAAGGGGAGGAGGACGAGGCGGAGATCGACGACACGGGCGGAGAAGAGGAGGAGGACGACGACGAGCTGAAGAGGGGGGACATACTGGGGCCGAGCAGCGAGGAGGAAGACGAGGAGGACGATGAGGAAGAGGAGGAAAACACCTTAAACATTCCAGGCTTGGAGCAGCCGGCCTTGATGGATCGAACCCGCCGGGGCACCAGAGCCTATGCCATGGCGGGTACCACCGCCTCCATGCGGCAGACACTAGCAGAGGCCAAGCTGGCCAACCAGCGGCTGGGCGGTAGGAGGACGCTGGATGCAGAGGGCCTGGGCCAGAAGGTGAGGCTAGAGGAGAAGCAACATTTCCCATGTAAGAAATGCCCTCGCGTCTTCAACAACCGCTGGTACCTGGAAAAACACATGAACGTCACTCATAACCGCATGCAGATCTGCAACAACTGTGGGAAACGCTTCCTGCTGGAGAGCGAGCTGCTGCTGCACCAGCAGACCGACTGTGAGAAGAGCATCCAGGTAGCAACCAAGTTAGATTTTTTTTTTTTTCTCTTCTGTAAAAATCTTTATTATAAATCTTAATGATACAATCCTGAAACCAAAATGTTAGGTCAGAGGTAAAGATGGACAAATTTCACGGTGCCACTTTCTGCTGTGACCATGTCTCGCTACAATCTCTGTGACCCTCTGACATGTTGTCATTAGCAGGATGAAAGAAGCTCAGAGTTCATAAAAGTGCTGACACATTCATCTGGGTCACGTCTTACTGTCGCCACGCTTCACGAGCCACAGCAAATAATTTGGACAGCTTCTAATTTACTACTTGCCGGTTGTACTTTACGAATTAAGATTCTGCAACACATACAAAAGGGCTTCTGAATTAGTTGATTACTCAATTAGTTGCATGCCTGCTTATAGAAGCTGATGCCCAGAAACGTCCCAAACGCAGCAAAATGAAATGAAAAGAGAAAATACAAGCAGAGGATCTCTGTAGATGCAGACATCACCACACACTTTTAGTGGACCAAAAGTGATGATTGAGAAGGATTATTTTTGTATCGGTCTCTAAATTGTTTTTTTGGAAAATCCTGCTCATTCTACCTTTGAGTAAAGGACCCGAATACTTCCTTCACCTCTGAGCTTGACACAAAAGTCTGCAGACACTCACTTACTGCATGCTTTAAGGGAAAAACTTAGAATTTGTGTTTTGATTCAGCGGTGACAATATGTAGTTATAATATCTTCCTATTAAAGGTTTAAACATCAGTCCAAGTTGAGGCAAATAAATAAATAACTACGGTCAAGAGTAAAGTCTATATCAGTGAAACTAAATACTTCAGA